ATATATATATATATACACACACACACACACACACACACACACAAACTAAAATAAACTACTACTTACTACTTGTACGACTATTCCTACTTGGCAGTTGTTCACTTATCGTGGGGCTTCAGGGTACGGATCCCCCTCGATAAACGAGGGACTACTGTGTAGCACCAATCAGCACCATCAATCTTCTTAAAGGAGTTATGAATGAACTTTTTGTAAGAGCAGGATCTAGGCATGTGTCTGAAAACATGAGGAAGTCATGCTTTTTGTACTTGAACAACTTACAAGACAAACTTGCTTAATGGCCAAACCCATGAAGACAAACACTAAGCTTTCCAAAGGAGCTCTCAAAGCACAAACTCACCTTTCATTTATTTCATCTTTTGTTTTTGTATCAAAGGAGAAACAACTCAGTTTAATAAGGATTTTATACGGCAAGGAAACCCTAACATTTACATTTTCTGTTCAGTTGCTAACATCACTGCAGTGATCCAGCTCAAACTCTCCATCACAACCTGAAACATGTTTAATCCACTCACCCAAATCTGCAACTTGATCCTCTTGTCATTGCGGAAGACCGTTTTGACTTTGAAGTCGATGCCCACGGTGCTGACGAAGGCAGAGTTGAAGGAGTCGTCTGCGTAGCGGAACAGAAACGAGGTTTTTCCCACACTGCTGTTGCCGATGATCAGCAGCTTGAACATGTAGTCAAAGTTCTGGTCGGCCGCGTCCTTCTGAGAGGGCTGCTGCTGAAGCCGCGACTCATTTGAGGCCATCTGTACAGCAAAAATTATAAAAGTTATGAGTTTTGTGTGATCTACCTGCCTTATCCATCCATCCATCCATCTATCTATCCATCCACTCAGTCAGTACAGCAGTCCCTCGCTACTTCACGGTTCAACTTTCGCGGACTCACCTTTCAATGATTGTCAACTTCAATATTACTTGTGATTGGGACAGTACGAGATAAAAAGTTAACCAAAAAAAGTACTTCGGACAGGAGACGGCATTTTGTAGTTTTCTTTCAAAAGCCTTCACTGTGTCGCCAGTCAAAGAACTACACTATCCAGAATTCAACAGTGCTTCCAGCCGCTGTTTTCTGTCGAAATGGAGGGAAAGTTTTGATCCGATCCGAACCTGACTAAAAAGTTTGGTCATTATTCATAGCGACTTCGGCGTTCAGTGGATGGAGAGAGCCAATCTGAACCAGACCAGGACTACTTCCAGCCTCAATCAATCTGAGTGCTGCTTGTCAGCCCATGAGGCCTCTCGAGCGGGAAGGCGTTGCTTGGAGGTCCGGTGTCTTCTCTGGAGCTCACCTGGACTTTTTTCATCTGGATTCGTCTGATTATTTGGGCTCGATCTGGACCATTGAGTGGTTTTGTGCTGGCTCTCTGAAGATCTCTCTCCCAAAGCATCCGGTGCTCAACGGCTGAAGAGAGCCGATCAGAACCGGACCAGAACCGACTGTACAGTACATATTAAGGGTTGAATCAACTAGTCGACTAGTCGGTTCTAGGACAGCTTGCGAGCTTTTTAAATTTCATGTCGACTAGTCACAGTCACATGATTAGCGGACGAGGAGGATATGCCCAAAAATCAGAGCGAGCTGGTGATCGGGAACAAAGCCAGACTCGAGGAGGATGTTGTGCAACTTTTTGGGACACATTTCCAGAGTGACAGGAGATCAGCACACTGCTCCACTGCTGCCGAAGAGGTCAGTGACTTTTTTTGTTACAGCAGATTCCCACCATGGCGAACCTGCTGCAGTGGTGGGCCAGCAATCAGGACAGATTTCCCCGTTTGGCAAAACTCAGCAGAAGTCAGAGTCAGAGAGATTTATTTGTCATTCACATCTCATATGGTACATGTGGTGGAACGAGATTTTTTACAGTGTCCCAGTTACATCCAACATTAAAATGTAAAAGAAAAACAGTAATAAGATTTAAGATATTAACTAAGAAAAACATCAACTAAATAATACAATAAGCACTAGAAGCATAAAAACATTGCACTTCCGGCAAGCTGATGGACGGCAGCTCCCTCCGGCTTCTCTGCAGTCTTTTATCATCAAACTGACCCATTTTTCGAACCGGACTTAAGGTGGTCCCACTTCAACTGAATTCGGTGTTCAGTGACTCAGAGAGCCGGACGGGACCGTCCAAAAATATATATTTTGGTCCAGGACCGGCCGCTCCCACCCTACCGGTCACTCTGAGTGCACCCTGCCGGCCAGGTGACCCCTCGAGCTGTGGGGTCGTCACACGAAGGTCCGGTGTTTTTTCCCTCTCTCTCTGGACCCCAACGAACTTCTCATCTGGACCTTTGTGGTTCTACCTGGTTCCGACGAGAATCGCCAGGTGGCATTTCACTGGTTTTCTGCTGGACTGGCCCTCGTGGCATCTTCAATGGTGTGGGGGAAGTGTACCGGTGTCCCCCGAACTGGACCAGAACTGAACCGAGTTGGCTGTGGGGGACTTCGTCTTTAACATAGCCAGTCTCAGCTTCAGTGAGCAGCCCATTACTTTTAACGAAGGACTGTCCACCTCCGTGGAATCTCTGTGTTCGCCTGGAGGAGATGCTCTGATGCTCTGAAGCGCCACCGGAACCGGACCAGAGCAGAACCGGACCAGAGTAGAACCGGGCCAGGGACAACTTCAGCCTCTCCGGTCAGTCTTGTAGTTTTCACTGGGGGTGTCCTCTCGTGCTGTCGGGTGTGGAGGTGACGTGCAGAGAAGAGGAGGAGCAGCGCTGAGTGGTGCTCGAGAGAAGTTTGGAGTTTGTATCAGAGTTGCTGCAGGCCTCCATCCAAACTCACCTGGATAATAATAATTTTTTTTCCGGATCATGCTGTTGTCCCCCGTTGACCTGAAACGAGCTAGGACCATGCCTTTCATTTCAGGAGGAGTTTCTGGCAGCTTGCTCAGCTATTTGCTGCGAATTATCCATTTCTGCCTGTTGGTTCTGGACCCAGCTTCTGTTTCTCATGGGAGCATCCATCCATCTTCACAGTGGGGCCGGAGCCCCCTCAGCCCAACTCAAACTGCAGTTGGGCCACCTCGTTGGATTTGTTTGCCCATTTGATTTGTGACATTTTATGGTCTGAGACTTTCCTGCACCATTCATACTATTGTCTTTATTTTCAGATCTCAAACTATCTGGAGTCACTGAATCTTGTTAATACACCTGGATCTGCCCATCACTGCAACTTTCACGGTTTTTGGGTTCTGAATGATTGCGTCTTCATTAAGGTTTCTCATGGTTCAATTACCGGGGCTAATTGTCACACTGTTAACTCCTGTAATTACACATCAGTCACAAAAAACTCAAGAAAATGTCTGATAATAATGTTGTTAATGCTGTCAGGGATTCAGCCCAACCCTAGACCCCCCATTATTTATAGGATGCCAAATGACTTTAAAAACATGTCAGGACTTCATTTTCTGCATGTAAATGCAAGTAGCTTTCTGAGAAAACTTGATGCCTTGAAAATTCTGGTCAGTTCTTCTGGGGCAGATGTAATCTTCATCTCTGAAACTTGGCTCAACAAATCTGTAATGAATAATGACCTGGCAATCAATGGATTTAACATCTGTGACGCAACATTTGATGCTGTGATCATCAAAAGAAGGGCATGGAGTTACTATTTACATCAGAGATTCTCTGGTTGCTAGTCTTGTGTCTTCTAAAACAATTCCAAACCAAATTGATGCCTTAGCTGTGAACATCACTTTGAATGGAGGCCAGATTTCATCTCTAGTGGGTTGTTATCATCCCCCTTCAGCAACACCTGAGGCTCTATCCTCCCTGATGGAATTCCTTGGTAATTTAAAATTAAAAGAGATTTTTTTGGCAGGAGATTTCAACATTGACTGGGATAAGTCAACCCCCTCTGATAAATTCAAGGAATGTTGCCTGTCTCTCAATCTAACCCAACTGATCGACTCTCCCACTAGACCAAACAAAAACCGTCCTGAAAAGTCCTTCATCTTAGACCTGTTTCTAACAAATATGCCCCACAAATTCCCTGGTACAAGTGTATTCGCTAACATTTTGAGTGATCATTGTGTAATAGCGGCTCTCAGAGATATTAAACTTCCACCTTCTGAGCCCAGATTAATTCAAAAAAGGGATCTGAAACGTTTTTGTGAACAGTCATTCCTCTGGGATCTGTCTCACTTTGACTGGCATCGTATTCTATTAATTGATGACGTGAACTCTGCTTGGAACTATTTTCATAATTGTTTCATTTATTTTGTGAACAAACATGCTCTTTTTCATCAGTTCAGAATAAAGGGACGAGACAGCCCCTGGTTTACTCCAGAGCTAGTTGACCTTCTGCACAGTAGAGATCATCTTTGGGCCACAGTGAGAAAATCTGACTCAGACACTGATTGGTTGAGTTTTTGACAGATGAGGAATAAATGCACAACTGCTGTCAAAGCTGCAAAACGCAACTATTTCTTAACTCAGACCTCCAAAAATCTAAATGACACCAACAGATTCTGGAAAACCATGAAATCTCTCTCAAAACCATGAAATCTCTCTCAGGCACCCCCCAATCATCTGACCTCCCATCACAACTTCTCGTTAACTCTGTTCCTGTGTCAAATCCGAGATCCTGAACTGTTTCAACTAGGGTATTAACAGAGTACTCGAGTAATCTACACATCGATTGCTAGGACATCTATCGAGGTTAAAAATTTAACATCGAGTATCCGTAGTGACGTCATATTATGTGACCACCGTATGACCGTAGGGGGCGGTGTTGCACTGTTGCAGGTCACAGAGTATGGTGTAACACCGGGTCCAATCCACCGAACCAGAACAAGTTTCGGTTTAAGTTTCGTTTTTGACGTGCTGCACGTTTCTTCACGTTTGCAGTTTAACAATAATAACTAATAGTTTAGTTTTTCCTGTAACTTATTTGCAGTATGATAAATGGTAGGAGCATAATATACGCTCCCAATGTTTTGGTCTTTTTTTTTGTAAATAAAAACCTTTTTTTGCGGTTTTATTTATTTATTTATTTTTGTATCTTGCGATCTATGACGTCATCAAATACTCGAGTTCTACTCGGGTTTTATTATGTTAATGTCGAGTTTAAAAATTATATACTCGTTCAACCCCTAGTTTCAACAAACATTTTGTTGCTTCAAGTTCTTTATTTGACAGTTACTAATGGAAAATCAGCCACTTCCATAGGCATCGCAACCATTATATGTGAAGGGGACAAGTCCCCCCCCCCCCCATTAAAAAACCGTTCATTTGGACCCCCCCACTTTTACTATAAAACATTAGTTCAGGCGGCGCAGTTTATTTGTCTTTGTGAACGAATCCATTCCACTTGATTAATAGGAGAATACTCAAACCACTAAAACTCCACTCCAGGTTTTCCTGGTTACCTCCAACTCTCCACCGTCCCTTCCTGCCTCTTGCCTCGGCAGAAAATGCGCATACGTAGAGGAGGTGGAGGTACCTGTGTTACTCGCTCGCCAGTTTAGCAGCTTAATGCGGGCAGTTGTTGGCCAGGGGGTTGATCATAAACATGTATTCATGTTAGGAGGATGTTTGAGAGGAGCTACGTCTATAGCATGTTCTCTTAGCAGTAACTGTGACACTGTAAGAAGCTGCAGGTGTAAGAGACGCTGTGTTTTCAGGTGTATTAAAGTTGAAATGCCTTTAAAACCCCACACCTTACTGTCCTCAAGCTTCATGAGAAACATAATTTAGATGAGTAGTGTTGAACACAAGTAAAAAAGTCCAGTGGAGATGT